ATGGTATTAACGTTCCGCAACCGCACACGCCTGCCAGGCACGTATGTACCACAGGGCTTTGGGCGCCATGACGTCAACTAGGGAGGTCCCAAGACTTCGCCGTCTTTGTACACGTGTGAGAAATCGCCTGCGCATGCACAGATGTGCTGAAGGGCTCTGCGCAGTTTCCAATATGGCAGTGGCAAAGGGTGGGGAGGTGGACTTGAGGTCCGTTTAAAGTGTTCACCTTTTCAGAGAAAATTAAAAAAAACAAACTCACTACACCCCCTCCCCACAACCCAGTTCCCCGCTGCGCTCATTTCCCTGCATGATTATCTTCTGCTGCCCATGCAGCTGGTGGTGTAGATAGTGCTTGCGAGGAACGCACCGGTACTAGTTAAAGACAGAAGACCGAGTACGAGTACCAGTACTCTTTCTCAAGTACTCGCTGATACCAATCACCGATACCCATTTTTAGTGTCATGTGACACATTATTAAATGAGCGAATATATTTATCTAATACTAAATACATTTTATGTGGTTTGCTTTATGTGTTTATTATATTACTAAATTATTATTATATATTGCGTTTTGAACTGCATCCAATTCGCATGACATGCAAACCAAACCGGCTTTCTATAGAGCTGGTTCACACATGTGCAGGCCAGGCCACAGTACCATTTAAAAAAAAAAGAGTCGGGTACGATTTTCAGTCCGGTTCAGGTGCGATTTCCAGCGTCATACACTTCAAAAATTAGCGTCTGAACCACTGAACGAAATTGTAGTGGACTCTTTTTATAAATTGCACTGAAATCAGTCCCCGCATATATGTGAACCCGGACTTGAAAGTATCGGTTTTAGTATCAGAGCATTTGCACGAGTACAAGTACTTCGTATCGGCACCAATATCGGTATCAGTGCCATGCTAGTGCTTGCAATAGTGAGTCGGCATTGATCAGCCTCCTGCCCATAACTGCTATGACCAATGAGAATCACTCGGAGCCATCCCGGAAGAAAGAAGGGCGCAGAAGTGCGCGGCTTTCAAATGCCTGGACTAAGCCCCCGGTCACATTGGGTGCAACTTGGCATGCAACTTGCAAATGGTAAGTCAAGTCGCACTCTATTGTCCGCTATTACAGCGATCATATTGGTGCGGTTCTGACTTGGTCGGAGCCGCACCGATTTCTAAAGTAGTACATGTGCTACTTTTGTTGCGATTAGCAAAGACATCTGTGTGGGATGTCTTGCAAATTGCAATGAATATCAGCGGGTCACCTGATTTTGAAATTGTGCAACTTTAATTTTATTTATTTCAGGTACTTCTATAGCGCCGTCAATTTACGCAGCACTTTACACTTCACTGTAAGTCGCACGATTTCAAAATCGGCTTTGATGTGACCGGGGTGTCAATCAGCTAGCGCAAAAAGCTGAAGATAATCAAGGAAGGAGAGGAGTGCAGTGAAAATTGGGGTGTGGGTAAAGGGGGTGTAGTAAGTTGGTTCACCTTTTCATACTTCATGAAAAGGTGAACTATTCCTCTAACTGCTGATGTTACCCTTCCAAAAGAGCCCACAATGCTTTTCATGCTTTTTGAACCCGATTTGGAATACACAGAACATAGTGTGCTTGTTTTCACTGTATCATGTGACTTCAGTGGTACTCAGCTAGTGTGCTGGAGCATAAAAACATCACCTCACCGGCACGAAAAGGGGAGCGGTGTCCTCAGATAGGTCCAGTCTTGAAACTTCCGCATAAAATGTGGGCGCCGGTCCGACTGCTCGTGGAATCCTAGCGTATGATGGCCCCAGCTGTAACTCCGGCGTGGCTGAGGCCATCTTACTCTAGGATTCCACGAGCGATCAGAGCCATGTCCACAGTTTATGTGGGAGTTTCAGTGGTACTCAAGTTGCAAGGAAACAGTTCTACAATACAAAAGCATGTGCAGGCACAGGGGCAGACTGACAACTCATGGGGCCATATAAACATCACCTCACCGGCACAAAAAGGGGAGCGGTGTCCTCAGATAGGTCCAGTCTTGAAACGTCCGCATAAAATGTGGACGCCGGTCCGACTGCTCATGGAATCCTAGAGTAAGATGGCCTCAGCCGCAACTCCGACCACGCCGCAGTTACGGCTGAGGCCATCTTACTCTAGGATTCCACGAGCGATCGGAGAGGCGTTCACATTTTATGGAGGAGTTTCAGTGGCACTCGAGTTGCAAGGAAGCAGTTCTACAATACAAAAGCATGTGCAGGCACAGGGGCGGACTGACAACTCATGGGGCCCCGGGCAATAGGGGATCATGGGGCCCCTGTGTCCTTGCCCATACTCAAAAAAGCCTATGAAAAAGGTACCAGGGGCATCTCATGGGGCCCCCTACTGACCCCGGGCCCTCGGGCAGTGCCCGAGTTTGCAAATGGTCAGTCCGCCCCTGTGCAGGCAGCTACCTACCAAAAAGTGAAAAGCTTTATGTTAAGACTCTACACCTGGGTACTGTATATAGTGTGCAGTGGTGCTCAGCTAGTGTGCATAGCGTGCTGGAGCATATAAACATCACCTCACCGGCACTAAAAGGGGAGCAGTGTCCTCAGATAGGTCCAGTCTTGAAACTCCTCCATAAAACGTGGACGCCGGTCCGACTGCTCGTGGAATCCTAGAGTAAGATGGCCTCAGCCGCAACTCCGACCACGCCGCAGTTACGGCTGAGGCCATCTTACTCTAGGATTCCAAGAGTGATCGGAGCGGCGTTCACATTTTATGGAGGAGTTTCAGTGGCACTCGAGTTTCAAGGAAGCAGTTCTACAATACAAAAGCATGTGCAGGCACAGGGGCAGACTGACAACTCATGGGGCCCCCGGGCAATAGGGGATCATGGGGCCCCTGTGTCCTTGCCCAAACTCAAAAAAAGCCTATGAAAAAGGTACCAGGGGCATCTCATGGGGCCCCCTACTGACCCCGGGCCCTCGGGCAGTGCCCGAGTTTCCAAATAGTCAGTCCGCCCCTGTGCAGGCAGCTACCTACCAAAAAGTGAAAAGCTTTATGTTAAGACTCTACACCTGGGTACTGTATATAGTGTGCATGTGGCAAGACAGACTGAAAAAAGCCGAATAGCAAATCGTATGCCAAGTCGCACCCTAACTTCCGCATAAAATGTAGACGCCGGTCCAACTGCTCATGGAATCCTAGAGTAAGATGGCCTCAGCCGCAACTCCGACCACACCGGAGTTACGGCTGAGCCATCTTACTCTAGGATTCCAGGAGCGATCGGAGCGGCGTTCACATTTTATGGAGGAGTTTCAGTGGCACTCGAGTTGCAAAGCAGCAGTTCTACAATACAAAAGCATGTGCAGGCGGCCACCTTACTCTAGGATTCCACGAGCGGTCGGAGCGGCGTCCACATTTTATGCGGGAGTTTCAGTGCCACTCAAGTTGCAAAGAAGCAGTTCTACAATACAAAAGCATGTACAGGCAGCTACCTACCAAAAAGTGAAAAGCTTTATGTTAAGACTCTACACCTGGGTATTGTATATAATGTGCATGTGGCGAGACAGACTGAAAAAAGCCAAAAAGGCCTCGCTAATCCCTACAAAGCGCACACACACCCGTTTACGTAGGTGCTTGAAACTGGCATCAAGTGGTCTGATGCAATAGTGACGAAGAACACAGTTGTATTAAATCTCAAATACTGTTATTCACAGCAAATACCTACTTATTTTTTTTTTGTTTTTTTAATACACTCACCAATGTGCAAATTAACCAAATATCCAATTCCTGGTAACACCTTTCAGTCCGCCTCTGTTTGAATAGATTCCATTCTGCGACTCCTGAACCGAAGCGGAATTCGCTGAATCTGGAGAAACGAAGCCGAATGTGCAGTTGAGGTCACTTGTTAAGACATGGCCTAAGGTCTGGTCTCCTACAAGGGAATGCACTTCTGACACACGACCCGCTTGCTTGTAGCAAACATAAAAAAACACATCGCTAGGTAACGGGCACCGGTAACAGACAGAACGCACCGGGAAGAACGACCTCACAAATCCAGTTTGGTGCCAGTATAAAGTCTATAATATCACAAGAGAAGGCAGAAGAGACAGTTATACACTGTGTGGCACATCAGTAGAAAATATCTTCGGCACGCGTTCCCCCTTCCCTCCGCATGCACCTCGACACCCTCAAAAAAAAAAAAAAAAAAATGGAAACCGTTTTCTATTTTTTTTTTCTGGATCAACTTTTAGAAGTTACAGCAGCAAATTGCAACATAACGTGTTATTAGGCCTTCTGACACAGAAGTGGTTAAATATACATCTTGTGGTCACTGAATTCTAGACTATGTATACAAAAATGGGGCGACCAACCATATATAGCTAAGACTCACAAAGCATAGTAAAGTAGTTGGTAAATTTTATTTATAACTGCCTGTTTATCGTAACCTAAGTACTGAGTATTTAAATAGAATATATATCTCATATGAAAAAAAAAAAAAAAAAAAAAAAAAAAAAAGCTAAAAAGCATCAAGTGCTTCTTCCCTCCCTTCCCCCGTTTGTATTCTGCTTGGATTCAGCTCCCTAAAAAAAAAAAAAACAAAAAAAGAAAAAAAAAAAAAAAAACAAAAACTGATTTTTTTTTTTTTGGGGAATATCTGGAATGCATTTTGCACCGCCCCACCCCTATTCACAAACTTCCCCCCCAAGAACCACAAATGTTTGTTGTTGAACATTGTTTCAGTCAGTGAAATTACCCCATGACCACAAATGCAAATGAGAGACATGATTTTTTTTTTTTTTTCTTTAAAAAATGTACAGATATTATTTGAGAGTTCAAAAACGTGTCACTTCACAGAAAGACTGCAGGGACTGGTCAAACGTTCGCTTCTAGAAAAGGTAAAATCCAAAGTCAAGTGGGTTTATTTTCCCGAGAATAAAACCGCTTTTCATAACTGGCCCGCTGGTATGAGCTACTGTGGAATAAATTAGCACAAAAAATATGGAAGAGGTGGACTTTTCTTTTTTTTTTTTTTTTTTTATAACTGTTCGCTATTACAGACATAATCCACAAGGTCAGTTACTCTCAAGAGTTCATCCTCGTCCTCCTCCGGAACGGCCGCTTCTTGCCCGCTTCCAGTCCCGTTGGGAGCCTGGCTAACAGCTGGCGTAGTGTCCTTAGAAGTCTGACTCTTTTCGCTCGGTTTACCGATTAAGGTTTCAATAGTTTTTCCCGGGCTTTGTCCGTTAGCGAAGGCAAATCCACCAAGCTGTAGTCCAAAGGGCTCCCGTCTTTCGTAACGTTTTCAAAGTCATCGTCCTCGTCGCTCTCAAGCCGGTAACAAGGCTTCTTAGTGTTTTCTGGGACGGTGCTCGTCGCAGAAGGCTTTTCCTCCGCGGGAGGCTTGTCGCTGCTGTCGACGGGCTTGGCGTCCGCTTCTTCGTCCTCGTCATCCGTCTCGATGCGGTTCAGACGCTTTCGGATAGGTTTCTCCTCCTCTTCCTCCGACGGCTCGTCGTTGGAACTTCGGATGCGTTTTCGGAGCAAGTTCTTTTTGAGATCTTTAGGTTTTTCGTCTTCGGAATCCCCAGAAATGGCGCTTGCTGAAGAGTAAATAGAAAAAGGTAATTATGTTACTGGTTGGAACAAGCCTGTAGAAAGGGAAAACAGATCTCTTTTACTGCATATTTTCCACAGGTCAGTCAACTTTATTAATAAAAAAAATTATTATTTACCGTATTTTTCGCTCCATAAGATGCACTTTTTCCCCCCAAAAAAGGGGGGAAAATGTCAGTGTGTCTTATGGAGCGAATATGGAGCGGCCGGTCCGGTATTTCCACCGCTGCCATGTCAGAATACAGGGCTGACCGCTCAGCTCTGCAGCGGGACCATACCTGTTCCTCTGTCCAGCGGTGCCCTGTCTTCCTGTCTTCTGTAGTGTGGGCGCTCAGCTTGACTGCCAGGTGCCCAGTGCGCATGCGCGAGAAGAGCTGCGCTTTGTGAATGTTAAGGCGGCACCTGGGACACATGACAGGTCCCAGAAGCCGCCGGACCAATCACAAAGCGCAGCGCTTCTCGCTCATGCGCACTGGGCACCCGGCTGTCAAGCCGAGCGCCCACACTACAGAAGACAGGGCGCCGCTGGATAGAGGAACAGGTATGGTCCCACTGCAGAGCGGACACTAACCAAAGAACAACTCCGCGGAATTAAGAGCGTGTACCTGTCAAATTCAGGTACCCGCTCCCCTCCCTCCCCAAAGGTCAGCAGTCATCCCCTGTACTGTGTCCGTCCGCAGTCTCTGGTCATCTCCTGTACCCCTATGTCCGCAGTCTCTGGTCATCTCCTGTACTGTGTCCGTCTCAGTCTCTTGTACTGTGTCTGCAGTCTCCCTGTACTGTGTCCGCAGTCTCTGGTCATCCCCTGTCATCCCCTGGTCATCCCCTGTACTGTGTCCGCAGTCTCTGGTCATCCCCTGTACTGTGTCCGCAGTCTCTGGTCATCTCCTGTACTGTGTCCGCAGTCTCTGGTCATCTCCTGTACTGTGTCCGCAGTCTCTGGTCATCCCCTGTACTGTGTGCCTGCAGCAGTCTCTGGTCATCTCCTGTACTGTGTGTCTGCATCCCCACTGTGCCCGCAGTCTTGGTAGAAGTCCATAGAATATTTTTTTTTCCTGTTTTCTGCCTCTAAAAGCTAGGTGCGTCTTATGGAGCGAAAAATACGGTACCTTCAAGTGTAGGAGTAAAACTCTCCAGGCAAACTGTTAAAATGGTTAAAAAGGCTAGGTGTTTTTTTTCCCCTGGTTTGAGGTCAAGGGCCGCAGGCTGAGCACCCCTGCATTAAGACATCCTTTTTGTTTTTAATGGCCTCTGAATGAACACCACTGGTGGCCCTCCAGCTGTTGCCAAACTACAAATCCCATGAGGCATTGCAAGATTGACAGTTACAAGCATGACTCCCAAAGGTAGAGGCATGATGGGACTTGTTTCGCAACAGCTGGAGGGCCGCCGGTTTGACACCCATGACTTAAATGCATTCCCTGCTATTCTATTTCCCTCCGCACGCCTCTCGAAATACTTACCCGATCTGCTAAGAGATTCCTCTTCTCACAGGGCCATTGGCTCCTGTTACTGTCAATCAAATTCTGTGAGGTGGGGCCAAGTTGTGCTGTGTGTGTCTATGGAGCGCGGCTCCATAGACACACACAGCTCAGAAGCAAGCACGCACATGTGCCCCCATAGCAAGTGGCTGGCTACAGGGGCACACAGAGAAGAGGATGAGCCTGGCGCACCAGCGTAGGACCCCAGAAGAGGAGGTCAGGGGTTTTTCTGTGTAAAACCATTGCACAGAGCAGGCAAGAATAACATTTGTTATTTTATAAAAAAAAAAAAAAAAATCTAGTCTTTACAATCACTTTAAAGTATAACTAATGCAGGCCATAGACGGGGCGGAAATCAGCCGAAAAAAAAAAAATTCAGTTTTTCGGGATTTTGGCACTTTTTTTTTTAATGGGTGAAGTTGGAAAACCCGTCCGATTTTGCCGGCAATGATGGGCAAATCGGCTGATCTTTTTACCGATAAAAAATCTGCACATAAGCCGTGACCAGCAAGAAGAAGAAATAGAAGAAGAAAAAGAAGAGAAAGAAAAGTAATAAGAAGAAAAAGAAGAATTCCAGTTCGCTATTATATTTGACATGAAAAAGTATTGCGGTTGCAACAATGTATCTATTTGTATCCGAATAAAACCATCTGTATCCGAAATGGATACAAATGGATACATTGTTGCAACCGCAATACTTTTTCATGTCAAATATAATAGCGGAGCTCTCTGCAGGGACAGAAGTAATTAAATGCCGGCCGTAGACGAGACGAAAATTTGGTCGATTTTTTTTTTACCGTTGGTGGTAACGTCGGCCTATTGAACGACCGATTTTTCTTCTTTTTTTTTTTTTTTTCTTAAACGGCCGGTTTTCGACCCGTCTATGGACTGCATTAGGTGTGAACCTAGATAAAGGGAGGGTGGGGGAGATTTACACAAACTAGTGCACATCACACAGAATCTATGGCCATCTATGGCCTGCATAAGGCTCCAATCACACTTCACGGTGTAACACTAAAACAGCCTCTCTCAGCCAGGGTGCCCAAGCACCTTGGGGTGCCTTGAGGTTTCTTCAGGGGTGCTTTGGCAAAATGTCTAAGAATTGGACAAAACTTGTATACAAGCCAGCAGGTGGACAGGCCTGCCTTTTAGTTAATAAATCACCTCTAATGTTGGGTGTCCTACAAGTGTGGATGTTGCTGCATTATAAAAACTATTAGAATAGTTTCTCATATTTTAGAATGGGGGGCCATTTTAAAATGGACAGTCTTGCGGCACCCCATTTTAGAAACACTGCACAAAAAAAGAAGGAACCTTCCAAGGGTTGATTGTACTGAAAACCAGATACAGTGCTTTGTAGAAGTAATCTCTGAATCAATATAGTGACAGTAATGTGAAAGGATCTTACCATATTAGAACATGAGTTCAAAAAGCATTTCTCAAAGATATTTTACTGGCAGCAAGGTGCAGCAGTAGTAACTCTTGCTGCAATACTTACCCCATTTCCAGCGCTGCCCCCCCCCCCCCCACAGATTCAACTTGCTTCCTGTTTGCATTAAACTACAAGTAAAGGCTTCTGTATGACAGCCCAAACAAGTCCCTATTAAAGTTACTATGTTATGCACGAGCCTCAAAGTAAACTTCCTTTTCCTTCCCGAAGCCAAATTCTCCATTTTTATCTCACACACTCCCACTCCCAGGCACTGTAGCTCACAGTGGGAAAGGTTTCAGCAGAAGAAACAGTGCTGCAAATCCAGAAATCTGTAGGCAGGAGTGATCAGTAGCTCACTGACAGGGCTTACGAATCAGCACTGACAATTCTGATATCCAGGGCTTACGAATCAGCACTGACAATTCTGATATCAGGGCACGAATCAGCACAATTCGGATATCCAGGGCTTACGAATCAGCATTGGCAATTCTGATATCCAGGGCTTACGAATCAGCATTGGCAATTCGGATATCCGGGGCTTACGAATCAGCACTGACAATTCTGATATCCAGGGCTTACGAATCAGCATTGGCAATTCCGATATCCAGGGCTTACGAATCAGCATTGGCAATTCTGATATCCAGGGCTTACGAATCAGCATTGGCAATTCGGATATCCAGGGCTTACGAATCAGCATTGGCAATTCCGATAGCTATACTCCCTGCAACATCTTCTCATTCTACTGTAGCGCCAGCAGGCACAGCCCCTACATGAGAGTGACAACTCTGCTCTGAATTCAGGAGCAATGCAGCATCACTGCCACTCCATCACAGGAAGCTGCATTAGGTGGACTTCACTGGAAAATCAACTAGTATTTGTGGGATGTGGGACTCTGTGAGGGGAAGGCTGCAAGCAAAAAGTAAGCAGTGCAGATGCTTTTATAATTAACCTCCCTAGCGGTCTGATTATGTCCATATTTCTGTGCTAAAAGCGGTACTTTTTTTGCATGGAAATATGTATTTTTTTTTATTATAGTCCTGTAATTTTTAGGAATAACTCACTGAAATCTGTCCGAACAAGAGTCTAGTAAACATCCCGGGTATGTTAAAATTTGAAACACGAAATCATAAATTATAATTTAATAATCATAAAAAAATTATAATATAATAATAAATTTAATTCAATAATGTAATCAAACCAAAAACACTGAAATTTGAAATAGAGCGCCAAGTTCGCACATCACTGAGCAAAGTCGCAGAATCGTTTTCAGTGTCTGATGAGGAATTTCCCCCACGAATCATTATCACTCAATTCTGCAAGTGGTTCTGATTTACTATCGCTGTTCTCTAGCCGGTCTAAAACCGCTTTTGACCTAAAGGGACGCTTTTTGGACGTCATGGACGTTTCTCAGTTTCCAGGCAGAAAGAACAGTAAAAATGCAGGCAGGGCGCAGGACAAAGCACTCGGGACAAAATGTATGTGAAATGGTTTGATACAGGAAATGTTATATGTATTTTAGTGATTTTAGTGAATGTCACTCTTTGTCATTTTCAGATTTCCCGCCATTCCGTCCCCGTACGTCCCGACGTCCCAGGGGACGGAACCCAGATGACAGATGCCGGCATCGGCCGAAGGACATTACCAGAGGTCACCGCAGGAGGGACATCGCGGGGGAGCGCAGGACAAGGTAAGTTAAGAACAGGTCCCGGAGCAACGCCGCATGGTAAGCCCGAGTGTAGCTCAGGGTTACCGCTTGTGGTGCTGAAACTCTACCCAGAACTACACTCGGGAATACCGCCAGGGAGGTTAAGCGCTGCATCAAATTTTTTTTTTTCACTGAAGGCCATAGTTTACAAGGCAGAGCCAAATAATCCTCAGGGCAACTTAGACAGGATCCTAAAGTGCAGTCAATTTTACCATAAGCCCACCCACAGGCTTCGTTCTTCTGCAGTAAAGCAGGGGGACAGCACAATTGTCCATCACTTCTGTCCGTCTTACGGGATGGGTCGTGTCAGTACAGACAATGACCATCATCTACGGCCAATCTCATTAGTGTCAACCAAAGGGATGTGGCAGGATGGGAGCGGTTACCCCTTCTTGAAGACCAACTCCACCTTTTAGACCATGTTACATGCATGTTTAGGGAGTAGCATGGTTGCATGAGGACCTTCTCATTCTCAAACCAGCCTCCGAAAGCATGCAGGGGTCCTTGTGCCCAGCAGCAGATGTCACTTGAATTTTTCACGGCTCAAATCTGTGAGTGAATGAATGCACTACAGTCCCATCTGCCACCAGAGCAGACAGCTTTGTAGTTGTGAAACATAAGTGCAGTGATTACCAAACTTGTAGGCCATTGACACTTCCTCCAGCTTATACAAGGAGCTAGAACAGGGGTCCTCAAACTTTTCAAACAATCGGTCAGTTTACTGTCTTTCAGGCTTTAGGGGGGGCCGGATTGTGGCCAGTTGGGGTAAAAAATGTCCCAGACCCATCATCAATGAGAATATACATGACCTCAAGGTCGTCAACAAGAGGAGGAATAGTACGCCATCAATGGTATCAGGGGGAGGAATAGTACCCCATTGTTAATGTCCGTAGGAGGAATAGTACCCCATCAATTGTATCAGCGGGAGGAATAGTACCCCATTGTTGATGTCTGTAGGAGGAATAGTACCCCATCAATGGTATCAGGGGGAGGAATAGTACCCCATTGTTGATGTCTGTAGGAGGAATAGTACGCCATCAATGGTATCAGGGGAAGGAATAGTACCCCATTTTTAATGTCCGTAGGAGGAATAGTACCCCATCAATGGTATCAGCGGGAGGAATAGTACCCCATTGTTAATGTCCGTAGGAGGAATAGTACCCCATCAATGGTATCAGTGGGAGGAATAGCACCCCATTGTTAATGTCCGTAGGAGGAATAGTGCCCCATCAATGGTATCAGCGGGAGGAATAGTACCCCATTGCTAATGTTCGTAGGAGGAATAGTACCCCATCAATGGTATCAGCGGGAGGAATAGCACCCCATTGTTAATGTCCGTAGGAGGAATAGTGCCCCATCAATGGTATCAGCGGGAGGAATAGTACCCCATTGCTAATGTCCGTAGGAGGAATAGTGCCCCATCAATGGTATCAGTGGGAGGAATAGTACCCCATCAATGGTATCAGCGGGAGGTAGTACCCCATTGTTAATGTCCGTAGGAGGAATAGTACCCCATCAATGGTATCAGTGGGAGGAATAGTACCCCATCAATGTATAAGAGTACCCCATCAATGGTATCAGCGAGAGGAATAGTACCCCATCAATGGTATCAGCGAGAGGAAGAGTACCCCATCAATGGTATCAGCGGGAGGAATAGTGCCCATTGTTAATGTCTGTAGGAGGAAAAGTTCCGCATCAAGTGTCAGGAATTATGCCGCACTGTTATTATCAGCTGGAGGAATAGTATCTCATATCACTTGGAGGAATAGTGCCCTAAGGGCCAAATAAAGCCTAGCAAAGGTCCTCATCTGGCCCTCAGCCACAGTTTGGAGACCACCGAGGTAGAGGAAGAATTTGCAGGAGCCTTGCATTGCAATCACGATCCACAAATCATTGTCGCAATGCTTTGCAGAAGCATTCAAAAATATTAAATGTACTTTTGCTGAAAATATGGGTGCATTTATAATTGTTTTTGTAAAAGGTGGACTTAGCCGTTAATGTTGACGAGGAATAATACAAGGAGATGGAGCACTTTTTATTGCCATGATAAAAAAGCTAACCCACAGACCCACAGTCATCCATTATCAATCATCAGGAGTATCCAAGGGAGTCTCTAAAGATATCCATCAAGGATAAACACCATAAAGCTGTGTTAGCCCAGCATTGGGTTTAATGGAAGGTGAGCGCATAGACGTATCTATATTCCAGCAAGAATCCATCTGCAATCTTGTTTGACCAATCAACTTGAATCGAACTTATATAGACTTTTTTTGGACACTCTTCATTTTTATTATTTAAATTACTATTATTTTTTTCAGGTTTTTTGTTTTTTTTTCACATTCTATTATTGATTTATTTTGAAGTTGTAATAAGTTGACTTGGATTGTTCATTATTTCTGGAAGTATTCATATCTCACATTTAGGGCGCGGCAATAAGCAATCAATATACTGTATATTACTACAAAACACATTTATATGAGGATGTGAATAGATGCCTGCTGACCTATATATTTAATTACTATCTCATACCTCAGCGGCTCGCAAGTAATTATAATATATATTATATGACTTGGCTGTTAATCATTCTCCCTGGAAGGTGCCCAGCCTGGATTTGAGCTTTAGGGCCTCATGTACACTGCAGCTCCTAATCCCACGTTCAGGAGTGTTCAGCGTTTTTTTTCAGCAGCCCCTGAACTCTCCCTAATGTTTTTCTATGTGTCCATGAACACATCTTCATTTACAGGCAGTTGAGTTTACAGTCGTTTTTTTTTTTAACGCACCAAACTTGCGATCAGGTAGATTTTTCCAGCGTTTCAAACGCCAAACGCTTGTAAACGCGGTTAACTGCGTTTAGAAGCGTTTTTTTAACTGTTCTATGTCCAGATGCTGTCCAGAGCCTTTTTTCATCATCATAAATGCATGCAAAGCGTTTTCCATGTATTCAAATGGACCCGGTACACAGGGTATAAGGGTTCATGTGCACTGCAGCTGCTAAACTGATGTTCAGGAGCTGTTCAGCGTTTTTTTCAGCAGTCCCTGAACTCACCCTAATGTTTTCCTATGTGTCCGTGTATACATCGTCGTTTACAGGCAGTTGAGTTTACAGTCCTTTATAGGCAGTTGAATTTACAGTCGTTTTTTTTGAACGCACCAAACGTGCGTTCAGGAGTAGATTGTACCGGCGTGTCAAAAACGCTTGTAGATGCGGTTAACCGCATTTATAAGCATTTGCGTTTAGAAGAGTTTTTAACTATTCCATGTCCAGAGCCTTTTTTCATCATCAGAAATGCATGCAAAGCGGTTTCCATGTATTCAAATGGACCCGGTACACCAGCGCAGTCAGTTCCAGGTTTCGCGTGAAGGATAAAATGGTAGAACGTGCCGCATTATGCTCATGATGGGATCCATAGTGAATACAACCAGAAAAGACAGGTCATCTCAACACATACTGCTCTCTCTGCTTCTGCTCTCTCTATTTCTCTCAAAATGTCTGAAATAGTTAATTTTTATTTATTTACTATTTTTCAGTGTATTCTGGCATCTGGGAAGGTCTCCTGAGGTGATCTATTAAAACCGCTTCTAAAACGCAAATGTGCATAAATGTAGTATGCAAATGCGGCTAAACTGACGTTTTTTGACCTACATTTTCCAGCAGTCAGTTTCCAAATGCCCCGTTGTGATGGGAGTCACTTTGGGTGGGGGGCCCTTTGGAAAGGCGGGGAGACCCCTGTCTCAGCTCCTCATATCCCTATTATGTGTAAGTCACCGTGTGCCTATTAGGGGTACAGGGTGGAATGTCCTGATATTGTGTAAATGTGAGATGTGGGGGTTGTTCATTGTTTACTGCCATGTGGTCCCATTGTGTCTTGCTTGGGAGCAAACTATTATGGGATGTATGCGTTTTGTGTATTGGCTTGGTGGGGGTGTCTGCTGATGTCTCTTGTTGCTAGATTTGGTTTGCCCCCACCCTGTGTCCTTATGAAGGGAGGTGGGTTGTTCCCTTGAATGTATATATCTTGTGTCTGTGTTAAAATAAAGCAGTCCATTTCCTGTTTTAATACAAGTCTGGTGCTGTCTTGTCTTGTATGGTCAGCGGTGGTGTCCGGGGATCTGTGTTCGGACAAGGAAGCGGGAGTATAACGGAAATACCCTAGTGCAGTCGGGGTCCGGTTCTGTTACACCTGTGTACATGAACCCTTAAATGTAAAACACGCTGAGAGAAATACTGAGGCTACCACTACTCACACTCACAGCAGCTGTCAGTTCCTATCTCCCAGATTTTACTGGCAGCACAAGCAGAAGATGAAATATGTAGTGACTGGTTGTGGGGAAAGGGGGAACAGTTGCAGGTGGCTGGGAGTCCAAAGCTCTGACACTCCAGAATATGACTGATATTCTGACAGATTAGTGGGCCACTACAACTCAATTTAGGCTGCAGCAGAGAAAGTTAGTTTAGAAGTATTGTACAGATTGCAGCCAAATGATTAGAAGACAATGGCAGTATGGTCTAAGGATTGCAGCGGGCTGCTTTTCTAGGCTTCTCTAAGCCATTTCAAAGTGAAAGCTTCTTCCTAGTATCCAAAAAACAGACATTTTACGGTTAGTCTTCAGCTTACCGTTGCTTTCAGAACTGGAGAATCGGCGTTTAAGCACTCGTCTCATCTCCTTCCCTCGTCTAATCTCCTTCCCTCGTCCAAAGCGAGCTCTTTTCTGTGATCCATCGCTCTCTGAATCTTCCCTGTAGTTGACTTGCCTCTTCTGATTTCTCCGTGATCGCCTCCTCCTGGTTTCCAGATAGTCATCACTGTAAACACTACTGTCGTCAGTCTCTGTGGGGAAAAAGGAAGGAGCTGTTATGCTACAGTGACAGTCTGTGACTCTACAGCAGGTACTCACCTGAATGTCTTTGATGAGTTATCAAAGAAAGCCATGACAAGGAATTACTTAATGGCACTTGGTCAAACCCCCCCCCCCCCAAAAAAAAAAAAAACAAACACCAACATCCTGTTAGCATTAAAGGAGAAGTTCACCTTTTTTTTAAACAAATAATAAATAAATTTTTTTTGCGGGGTAAAAAAAAAAAAAATTATCAATTTTTCTTTTACCGCTTACTTGCCGCCGTATAGCAGATATACTGCTATACAGTGATTTCGCATTTCCAGGTAGGAGGCGCGCGCACACCCTACTCGCGCCGCCATTCGCAGCCACGAATGTCAATCACCGGGTCACAGCCGATGATTACCGACGGGGTGTAAGACTGTTTTGTTTACAAGCAGTCTTCCTCCCTGTCATCTCGGCCACATTGCACATTGCAGAACGCTGTACTGCACTGGTGACAATATGTAAAAAAAAATAGTGAAAATAATTTTTTTAATTTTCTGAAAAATTAAGACAAAAAAATACAACTTCAAAAAACTCGCAATGCCTCTTATGAAGTATGTCGGACTGTCTACTTTGCAAAAAGTGATCATTTGGGGGATATCTGTACTGTTCTGACATTTCTGGGATATCTGTACTGTTCTGACATTCTTGGACCTCAAGAAATTAGATTGGCCGTCAGTACTTCAGGATTGATCAATTTTCAGATCTATACCATAGTTTGTGAACTTTCCTACAAACTAAAAAATACATCCTAATTTGGGTTATTTTCACCAAAGACATGTAGCAGAATACATCTCGGCCTAAATTTATGAAGAACAATTATTTATTTGCAAACTTATAACAGAAACAAAGAAAAACGTGTTTCTTTTTTTTCAAAATTTTCGGTCTTTTTTTGTTAATTTAGAAAAAAATAAAAATCCCAGCGGTGATTAAATACCACCGGAAGACAGCTCTAGTTGTGTGAAGAAAATGATAAAATTTTAGTTTGGGTACAATGTTGTATGACCGCGCAACTGTCATTCAAAGTGTGAGAGCGCTGAAACCTGAAAAATGGCCTGGGCAGGAAGGGCCCGGTATTGAAATGGTTAATGAACTACAAGAGCTCTCACCAGCATGTTGTGTTTGAGAACTACAAGCTGTCAGCCGCAATGGCTGATGGTACTTGTAGCCTATTCATTCAAAGGAAACTGAATGAATGACCCAGTCACAACTGTGCTGTGTTCAAATTGTGACAGTGGGTGTGGGGAGAAGATCCCTCGACTGCTCTCACAGCGAGGGGAAATCGGAGGGGGAGGGGGTTAATACTGAAGAGGTTACATCCTGAATACGAATGTAACATATTCAGAAAAGTGATCTTAGCCTTTAAGCTATCAAAGGATGACAAAGCTTGTTAAAGCATTTAGTTCCTTAACTAAAGGCAAGATATTCATTACATAATTACACAAACTTATAGTTTATATATAAAAAAAAACAAAAAAAAAAAAAAAAAAAAAAACCAGTCCAGATTCCTAAAGCAAACCAAAAAGTCTCACCTGACTCCTGGCCATCATCATCAGAGTCATCATCGTCGTCATCATCATCCGAATACCTTCTTACACGCTTTCTCAGCCGTGTGCTTTTCCTCACTGGCCGCTGGTAGTGCCTCCGAGGCCGCCTTGTTCCAAAGTCGCTGTCATTGGACTGCTGGTCCTCATCGCTTTCCTCTACATTTTCATCCGAGACGACAAAATCTTCCTGAGAGCTACGATTTAAGAGAAGGTACAGTAAAGAAGAAGCCAAGGGTCCAAATAATACCCAAAGATTATAATCCAAGATAAATATATGAAGGCAAGAAGCATGCAATGTTCATTCACTGACCCTTCACTGATCCGGAATTCATCTTCACTCTCATCTTCATCTAGGTTGCTGTCACTGTCTAGATCGTTAAGTCGCCGACGTTTTTTGCGACGCGTGACAACTCTTTGCGGCCGTTTTCCTTCTGTCCTTTCACTCTCCAAAATGGTGGATATGTCTTTGCCACGATGACCGGTGATATTGGACATGTCTTTTCCATGGCCACCACCTTTAAAAAAAAAACAAAAAAAACAATAATCTAAAAATGAATATTGGGAATCATCCACCCATCAATGTGGCTCCCATTCATGTGGTTATGATGACAGCCAGTCATGAGTACACAGCATTTCTTTACAAGATTTAGAAAACTTTATGAAATTCCATTAAAGTACACTGTGTGCACAATTATTAGGCAAATTGTATTTTAAGGATTAATTTAATTATTGAACAACTCCAGTGCTCTCGGTCAATCCAAAATAATAATAAAAACCTCAAACCTGAATATTTAAGAAAGTAAAAGTGAGGTTCTGGCTTTCTTAGGAGAAGGTCTATGTGTGCACAATTATTGGGCAAGTATTATTGTGCACAATTATTATGAAAATAAATGAAACTTTTCGAATTTCACTTGTTTATTTTCAGCTGTTAAAGCGAGAATAATTAACAACGCAAAGTTTACAAATAAACATTTCTGACATAAAAAATATCAGTAGCCACCCTTTTCAATAACCGTAATAAGCCTTCCATTCATGGAGTTTCTTGATCTGTTGACAATCAACTTTTTGTGCACCAGCAACCACAGTCTCCAAGACACTGTTCAGAGAGGTGGACTGTTTTTCTTCACCTAAATCTCCCATTTAATAAGGGCCCACAAGTTCTCAATAGGGTTTAGGTCAGGTGAGGAAGGGGGCCGTGTCATTATTCTTTCATCTTTAAGACCTTTACTGTCTAGCCATGCAGTGGAGTACTTCGATGCATGCGATGGACCATTGTCCTGCATAAATATCATGGTCTTTTTCCTGTACCACTGCTTGAAGAAAGTGTCTTCTAAAAATTGGCAGTAGGTTTGGGAGCTGATTTCGAGTCCATCTTCAACCCAAAAAGGTCCGGATAGCTCATCTTTAATAATACCAGTCCATACCAATACCCCACCTCCACCTTGATGGCGTCTGAGTCGAAGTGGAGTGCTGTGCCTGTTACTGATCCAGCCACGGGCCCGTCTGTCAAGAACCTCTCTCATCCCATTAGTCCATAAAACCTTTGAAAGATATGTTTTCAGATATTTCTTTGCCCAGTCTTAACGTTTCAACTTCTGTGTCTTGCTCAGTGGTGGTCGGGTTTCAGCCTTCCTTACCTTGGCCATGTCTCTGAGCCCTGAACAGCTTGTACTTCTGGGCACTCCAGGTAGGTTGCAGTTCTGGAATATGACAGCACTGGAAGATAATGGCTTCCTGGTAGCTTCACGTTTGATTCTTCTCAAATCTTTGGCAGTTAATTTGCATCTTTTTTTCTCAACATGTTTCTTGCAACTCTGTTGACTATTTGCAACAAAACATTGGATGGTTTTTGTGATCACGTCCCAATATCTTAGCAATTTCAAGAGTGCTGCATCCCTCAAAGACTTTTTACAATTTTTGATTTCTCAGAGTCAGAGAAATCTCATTTTTGGCCATTTTGCCTGAGGAAAAGAAGCTGCCTAATAATCAAGCACACTTTGTTATAGGGTGTTGATTCCCTTAGGCCACACCCTCCTTCACATAAAAATTACGATTTGGTCAAAATATCACTTCCCTAATAAGTGTGCATACAGTGAAGAACTAAAAGGCAAAAAACTTACACATTTTAATGTTCAAAAGATTATGGACACCTGATTGTCACATTTATATAAGCTTGTCAGACATCCCATTTGAAAACCATGGGAATTATTATAGAATTGGGCTCCCCTTCCCAGCGATAACAGCTTCCTTTCTTATAGGAAGGCTTTCCACAAGATTTTTGTGCTTTTGAAATTGTACAAGAGGAGTATTCTTTTGGGAATTTGTTCCCATTCAGCTAAAAACGGCATTCAGGTCAGGTAATTATGTTGGACGAGAAGACCTGGACCTTTGCATCTTATGGTACAGCACTGTACACGTCACCGCTCTCTCCCCATGTCTAATATCTTTCTCTCGGTGAATAATAAAGAGTTCTAAGGTACCTAAAAAAACATAAAAGATGTCTTTACAGGAGCAAGAAATCAGAAAGCTTCTTGTACTTTTGTAACTGCCCTAGATCAGCAGATTAGACTGCTTGGGCAGGATATAGACCGTTATGAAATGTTCTCCTTTTTCTGCAGTTTTTATAATCAGCTCTGCATCATGAAGGTATTTAGTCCCCTGAGTAGAGACACATGGGAAGAGAACTTTGAATGTGTGTGTCCCTCCTGTGTAATAGGTCTTTAAAATGAATAGAATTTCCTTCATTACCTCCTCCATCAGCATCCCTGATGTCACCAGTACCTGCATAGTTACACACTTACAATGAGCAGCTAAAACACCACCAGCAACAGTAACAAATTCTCTCTCTCTCTACATATCTCTCTCTCTCTCTATATATATATCTCTATATATATATCTATATATATATATATATATCTCTATCTATCTATCTATATATATATATATATATATATATATATCTATCTATCTTATATATTATATTTATATATATATATATATATATATATTATATATTTTTATATCTATATCTCTATCTATCTATATATATATATATCTCTATCTATATCTATCTATCTATCTATATTATATATATATATATCTTATCTATTATCTATCTATTATTTTATTATATATATATATATATATTTTATCTATATTTTTTATATATATATCTCTATCTACCTCTATATATATATCTATCTATATATCTAGCTATCTATCTACCTCTCTCTCTTTATATATATATATATATATCTATATATATATCCCTCTCCCTATATATATATATATATATATATATATATATATATATATATATATATATATATATATATATCTCCCTTGAGAAAGACGGGCTGAGCTTCATTGAAAAAGTGACAATAAAAACACTGCTCTTTTTGATCTTCCACCTCTGCAAGACCCTTGAGTGTACCTTTAAGCCAGTTTTGGATATATATATATGGGCAGCACAGTGGCTAAATGGTTAGCACTTCCACCTGGCAGTATTAGGGTCGCTAGTTTGACTCCCAACCACGGCACCACCTGCCTGGAGTTTGCATGTTCTCCCTGTGCCTGTGTGGGTTTTCTCTGGGTACTCCGGTTTCCTCCCACATTCCAAAGACATGCTGGTAGGTTAATTGGCTTCTCTCTAAATTGTCCCTAGTATGTGTATGTATGAATGTGAGTTAGGGACCTTAGATTGTACACCCCTTGAGGGTTAGGGACTGATGTGAATGTACAATATATATGTAAAGCGCTGCGTAAATTGATGGCGCCATATAAATACCTGAAATAAAATATATAAATTCTGTCAAATCTATCTTATCCTATCTTGCTATCTTATCCTACGAGGTGGTATCAAAAAGTTTTGAGACTAGTTTTGTAACAGGCCAACAAATGGCAGTACAAGGCTGCACGCACATTCACAGGGACCACCAACCTTCATAAGTCAGTGTGCCAAAAGGCATCGTCCTGTGCAACCGGTGCTATTCTGACCACGTGCGTTACCACGTCTGCTATTTCATCATGGACAGCATGTTAGAACAAAGAGCAAACGTGAAATTCTGCGTGATATTGGGCAAATCTGCCACTCTGACATTTAATATGATTCGGCAAGTTTAGGGTGATGCTGCAACAAGTCGTTTGAGGTGTTTTGTGTGGCATGTGCACTTCAAGAGTGGAAGAATGTCACTGGAAGATAACAAGAGATCAGGAACATCAGCTCAACCCCTGAAAATGTCCTCTTCTCGAAGATGAAGGTTGCGTTTTGACAACATTATGGAGATAAAGCGAATTGCCCAGTTTCACGCAGAATTTCACATTTGCGCTTCTACAGGGCCAAACAACAACTAAAATACGCATATGCGGTATCAGTGCGATCGTTAGGCGCAGAATTTATTTTGGGTCATTCTTTGGTGGCAAAATATGGTAGTTGCAAGAAACATACAACAAAATTAAAAAAAAAATTTTTTTTTTTTTTCTAACTATTTTGGGCCAGTTTTTCTTCTGTAAAAAAAATAACAACAGGAGATATCCGTTACCACTTCCCAGCAAAAGAAAGCTCAATTAATCCTGAAAAAAAAAACAAGGTTAAATCCATCTGGATACATGAAGTCCTTGGGGTATGTTCAGTGTTACTAACACGTCAAATTTTCTAAATTGTGTTCAGTCATTAACACTTATTTTACGCTCTGTCATCTAAGGTGTTAATGTGGTTCTAAAGCCTCTAGCATGCATTCTATGCATGAAGGGGAAAAAAAACTTTTATCACAGACTGCACAGCAGAGCAATACAAAGCAGCTTGTTTCCCTAGTACGGGTGTCGGCAACCCGCGGCTCCAGAGCCGCATGCGGCTCTTTTTCATCTTTGCTGCGGCTCCAGAGCACACTGCCCACCAGGTGGTCGGCAAGCCGCAGATCGCGAGCCACATGCGGCTCTTCTGTGTGCCGGGTGCCCGCTCCCCTCCCTCCTCAAAAATCCGGCCCGCGGAGCGTGGAACATTGGCTGTCAGGATGTAGGTGGGGCAGCCAGGATGTAGGCGGGGGCAGAGTGACGAACTCCTCTCTCAGTCCGCCCTGAAGACCAGAACGGCGCGGGAACACAGCGAGAGGAACGCAAAGGTAAGTGAATTGAGACAATATGGGGGATGAATTACTGTGTGGGGGATGAATTACTGTGTGGGGGATGAATTACTATGGGGGATGAATTACTATGTGGGGGATGAATTACTATGGGGGAAGAATTACTATATGGGGGATGAATTACTATGGGGGAAGAATTACTATATGGGGGATGAATTACTATATGGGGGATGAATTACTATGGGGGATGAATTACTATATGGGGGATGAATTACTATATGGGGGATGAATTACTATGTGGGGGATGAATTACTATGGGGGATGAATTACTATATGGGGGATGAATTACTATATGGGGGCATTACTATATGGGGGATGAATTACTATGGGGGATGAATTACTATATGGGGGATGAATTACTATGGGGGATGAATTACTATATGGGGGATGTATTTTCAGTTTTAAAAATGTGGCTGTCAAAATAAATTTCAATCGTGGTTTTGGCGAGATTTGGCTCAGTTGAAAAAAAAGGTTGCCCACCACTGACCTAAGGCTATGATTGTGATTATGATGATACACTGTGGCCCTGATTAACCCTTTGCTTACTGGGCCCTTAAACCCCCTTCATGACCAGAGTGCTTTGCAATATATGCAGTGTCGGATTTGTTATAAATGTTGTAATGGTTTTGCGGCTCCCAGTCTTTTTTTTCCCTTCGGAAACGGGTCCAAGTGGCTCTTTATGTCTTAAAGGTTGCAGACCCCTGCCCTAGTAAAACACACAGCACACAGTTAACCCTTGACTGCCCCACGTTAACTCCTACCTGCCCAGTGTCATTAGTACAATGTCGGTGCTCTTTAATAGCACTGTATTAGTGTCACTGGGAATGCCCGCCGCAGTCCCGCTATAAGTCACTGATCGCCATCACTTGTATATTGAAAAAAAAAAAAAAAAAAAAATACAAATTGCAGTATATATACACCATTTGTAGACACTATAACTTTCACGTAAACCAATTAATTTACATTGGGAATTTTTTTTTCTTACCAAAGACGTAGCAGAATACATTCTGGCCTAAATTTATGACGAAATTTGATTTAAATTTTTTTTACTGGAGATAATTTATAGCAAAAAGTCTAAAATATTGTTTTTTTTTCAAAATTGTTGGTCTTTTTTTGTTTATAGTGCACAAAATAAAAAAACAAAGAGGCGATCAAATACCACTGAAAGAAAGTTCTATTTGTGGGACAAACATTTCATTTGGGTGCAGCGTTGCATGACTGCGCAATTGTCAGTTAAAGTAACGCAGCGCCCTATCGCAAAAAATGGCCTGGTCAGGAAGGGGGGTAAATCCTCTGTAGGGCAACTGGTTAAAAATGAAGCATGAGCTTTTGCTAATTGCAGAGCTATTGTTCGATTACAGTAAGGGGCGTGCCGAACCTTTGCAATGAGACCACACTTCACCCAAGGGCAGCATCGGTCCCACTCTGCAGCTGTTGGCAGGGGACAGGCTTTTCTACTCTGAAAATGACTGCTTTAGATAGAGAAACCTCCTCCTTTTGTTTTGATGCAACTGGAATTATTTAGCTTTGATCTGTATTAGGTTTAAAGTCAGGACGGAAGGATCTGCTAATAGAACCACAGATGTTCCACTGAAATTTTTTGACACATGCCTCACCTGTAACTGATGAATTTCCTGGTCCTTGTTGACCGCCTTTCCAATGGTTTAGACTTTTTCTTCTTCTTTTCCTCTTTTTCTTGAACTTCTGGGACCTCTTCTTGTTCCTACAACCATCAAAATCATATTATACTTAATGCTAATACCATCAAATCAAGTTTAAGGTGAAACACAATAAACCTGTTTATCAAGTTATCAATGGTGCTAAGAAGTTAGAATCCTATAGTGTTTTGCAGGTACCCTGTGGAAGTCCTTGGATGCTGGGCCTTCTACTTCTGTTCAAGTCATACTTGCGCCCCTCCCTTTCCTGTCACTAATCCTTACCTACATCACTCCACTATTAAATGCCTTGGACTTCACTGACATTTTGACGTTCTACAATTAAAGTGATACTAAACACAGGATGCTTAATGTACATTATACCTTCGATTTCTGTATGTGGATGGGCGCTCTGTAATTATTTAAATAAATATAAAACATCTAAGTAGCTTGTCCCTAATTGCTATAGAGCGGTCACATGGCCCAGCTATTTCCCAGCCAGTCCCCCTCGCCCCCAAAGGTGCCAATCCTTAATTGGGAGCGGGGGACCAATCTTTAAAGCAGAACTTCCCCTTTTGGGTGGAGCTCTGCTTTAAGCGCTGGGAATACTTTCTGGATGCACAGCAGTTCTAACCGATTTGGCAGAGGCCATGGATCGGCCACTGTTAGCCTGCCAATGTCCGTGTACCAACACCTCGTGGGCCAGGCTGGTGCCACTAATATCACCGGAATCACATTGTCTCGAATCCTGCATAATAGCCGTGGGAGTAGCTGAATTGGGGGAGAAGGCATAGGTTAGGGAAAAATGATCCAACGGTATCTCCAAGGCATCTGCCCCGATCGCAAGAGTGTCCAGTGTCCTGTCCACCTTGCTGTTGAACCTGGACACCAACAGATCTACATCTGGGTACCCCCAACGCTGGCAGATTGCTGAGAACACTTCGGGATGCACAGCCCACTCCCCTGGAAACAACCGCTGACTACCTGGGTAGTCCGCCTGACAATTCTCTATCCCTGGAATGAATGTTGCTGACAGAACTGGAACATGCCCTTCTGCCCAAGCCAGAATGTGATCTACCTCCTCCTGAGCCCTCTGGCTCTAGCTACCGCCTTTGGTGGTTGATGTATGCCACTGCTGTACCATTGTCGGACTGGACCCTGACTGGCCAACCATGAAGCCTGGTTGTCCAATATCTTAAAGGCAAGCCGCACCGCCCGAAGCTCCAGGATATTGATGGGAAGGATTTTTTCCTGAGGTGACCATGTCCCCTAGACAGTGGTCCCATCTAGAACAGCCCCCCAACCCATGAGGCTGGCATTGGTTGTTACCAGCTTCCAAAAAACTGGTGGGAAAGATCTTCCTTTTTCCAAATTCCAAGCTTCCAACCACCAATTCAAGCGTTGCAGCACCCAGGGGGACAAAGACATGCGGTAATCCAGTGCTGGAATCTTTCTGTTCCATACCAACAGAATATTCCTCCACAAAGGCCTTGAGAGGAACTGTGCATAGGCCACTGCCTCGAATGAGGATACCATCTTCCCCATTAACCTCATGCAGAGACGAATGGAAGGATACTTCCTGCTCCTCATACTCCGAACCTGATCTCTCAGGGTGTGGCCCCTTACTGGAGGCAAAAACATCTTTGCCTAGACATTGTCTAGGACCACCACCAAATACTCCAGTACTGGTTCCAGGGCCGACTTCTCAAAGTTGAGCACCTAGCCCAAGCGTTCCAATCGCAAGGGCCACATTTTTTAATCAGGCTTGGAACCCGACTGACCCCTGAGCAGTAGATTGTCCAAATATCCCAAAATCGATACTCCCCCCGAGTTCTGAGCAGCTCCATTACTGGAGCCAAAATCTTTGTAAACACTTGAGGAGCTGTGGCTAGCTCAAAAAGTAGTGCCACAAACAGAAAATGTTGAGTTTCAAACCGCAGATACTTTTGATATAATGGAAATATTGGCTCCCTCTTGTAAAGATGCGACTACTGACCACATCCGAAATGAACAAATCTTTAGGAACTGGTTCAGCCTCTTCAATTCTACAATAGGCCTTACATCCCCATTCGGTTTTGGAACGGTGAATAGGTTTGAATAAGATCCCTGGAACCTTTTGTTCGCTGGAACCTCCACAATCACACCCTGGGACAACAGCCGGTTAAGTGCCTGAAACAAAGATTTCCTTCTCAATGGATTCATGGATACATTGGATTTTAAGAAATGGGGAGGGGGAATTCCCCAAAATTCCAGTTTGTACCCCTGAGCAACTGTAGCAGTGACCCACCTGTCCTGGATCAGCTCTTCCCAAATCACCGAAAAAAACAAAATCGTCCCCCCACCTGCACGAGTGGGGGTGCCCCTTCATAACGAAGCAGACTTAGAATCTGACTTGGTGGGCTTCTGCCCCCAGGGTTTCTTCTGGCACTGGCCCTGAAATTTTCCCCTAGATGCAGAGCCCTGTGTACGGCGAAATCCTTGCCTAATGGAAGAAGTACCAACCACTGACGTGCGTGGCCCCTTAAAGGTCAGGCGTTTGGACTTTTTCTTAAAGGGTAAAATGTACTAGCACACCCCCCCACCCCAAGGTCTTCTGGATATACTTGTCTAGGTCATCCCCAAACAAATGTTCTCCATGAAAAGGAAAACCCGCCAACACTCTTTTACACGGTAGTTCTGCCACCCAACTCTTTAAATACAAGACCCTGCGCATGTGTACCGACAGAAGGGCCATGCGAGAGATCTGCTGAATCAAATCCTTAAGGGCATCAATTGCAAAACACAAGGCCTGTGGTAAATCTGCCAAATCCACAGCTGTATCCTCCTCCAAAAAAGATGGCCTTCTAACCACGACATTACCTCCACTAGCTTACAAGGACATGTACTCAACCCTCCTGCTTGACTGGCCGACCCTCCCAGGCAAGTACTCACGTGCCTTTAAAAAAACCTGCCCTGTGTCCTGGCCATTCCTCCAGGGTCCAGCAGCGGTAGCAGCAGCCCATATGTAACAGGCAGCGTCCCATGTAAACAAAATGGTCAACTTCCTCTTCCTGCTGCTACTGTGCATGCGTCCCCGCCGCGCGTGCACCCATGTGGTCTCTACTGTAATAGTCTCAGTAAAGTGGCCAAAAATAGGTATTACAGGCAGGTATAGGCAAAAAAAAAAAAAAAAAAAAAAAGTACTCCCTCTCGTGGAGGAGTCATCCATAGCAGACTCCTCCACGAGTGAGCTTTTAGTCAGGGACCAACCTAAACCCATCACGGCGGGCCCTGTCCTAAAGACCTTCAAAGACTCTGTCCCCCTTTTTAAATGGGGGCCAATGCCTTGGATACGTATAACACCCTGCCGGAAGCGCCTTGGTCAGATCAAACTGCACAGGGTTTCGAAAGCGCAGGGTCCAGCGCCATAAATCCACATTTCAGGCAAAACCCAGTGGATTTCTTCTCCTTATCCAGCAAGGCTTGGGCATCATCCATTTTGGCTAAAAGCTTTTCGAACAGATCCAATTGAGGCCCTTGACTCTCAGTAAAATCATTCCAGACCTCCCAGTATGCTTCACAGAGCACATATTCAGTGAACATCCACCTTACAGACACTGGTGAAAAAACGGAGTACTTCCAGTGTAAGAGGGGTTATATGGGGGTGAACTTCCTGTTTGATTGGTCGGCAAGTGTCCATTCACCTATAGGCGGCATATAACCCACATTGTCATGATTATGGCCTGCTCTGTGTCCCGTAATGTACGATAAAGAAAAAAGTACTTACAAGCACAAGGTGTAGCAGGAATCTAGTTAACTTGATGTCTTCCCGCTCGCCGAATGCATATATGCGCCCTTAATGCCGATACGTGTATTCAAATGTAAACAATGCTGTGCTGAGAACGCGCACCCTGCACACTCCCAGCAGGTAACGAAAAGCTCTCGATCTCTAAATTGTGATCAGGAGCTTTCCGATCATATGACCTCCAATCACAGCAGTCACATGACTGAAATGTACGCCTCCACCGTCCGGCATCTGAGACCTCTAAAAGAGCTGGGAGGCGTCGGTGGGAACACATTTTTTTGGGTCCCTTCAGGTTCACATTAAAATTGTGCATAGCAACCAACTTACTTGTGTAGGAATGATGTTTTCAATACTGATTCCAACGTAAACCAAACGTTCCTTCCTGCAATTGTACAATACACTCAGTCAATGCATGTAAAAAACAGTAGATATGGCGGAAAATAAATATTTTAAAAGGTTTTCCGGAAAACTGAGAGTGTCGTATTTGCCCAACTACTCATCTCTGAAGTTCACACTGGTGAGACTCCAAAGTCACGTGATTTCCAGTGCGATTTTACACTCTCTGGCATTCAAGTTCCAAGAAAGTCACATCCAAAGTAGGGCAGAAACCTTTTTAAAGTCGCATAAATTGGAACAGGTGCCACTGAAATCAATGGGCTGCCACTTGTCATGAAACTTTGTGTGTCCAAAGTCACATGACAAGTCGCACTAGGATGAACAGAGCCTTACCTGGATTTGGATCAACAGATTTTCAAGCTTTAAAGTCACGTGCTACATTCTGCCCTTACTGCACAGCCATGGGATACAATGATTGGCCATGGAAACCCATGACTTTAGTCCTAGTTTTTGCAAAGAGCAGCATTACATGAATCTAGCCATTTTTTAAACCTAATGGATTGTGGGCAAGTTACAGTTCTGAAGGGTTGTGGTAACAATACCATGAAAGTCCTCTAAAAGTGACTAGATGCTTTTCTATTAAACCTCTGAGTCTGCTGGACATAACAGAAACAAGTTTACTACCACTACTGCAGCCAAGATCCTGATTTACTACAGCCTTGGCCTAAAAGAGAGGTCCAAAGAGCTCAATTCATTAAAAACATCACTGAGCTGGGAGCATCTACAAACAGGCTGGAGAGATCAGCTCGTTATGAGTTCATCATATGAGCTAGCCTAGGGTGTCTTAATGGTACAAGGTGGGAACCATATATTTTGGAAAGAAGATCATCAGCGACAGAGCAGCACAGTGGCAATTGGTTAGCACTTCTGCCTGGCATTAGGGTCATTGTTCCATATCCCAGCCACGGCACCTCCTGCTTGGAGTTTTTTTTCTCTCCTAGTGCTGCATTCTTTCCTGGTGGTATTTACTCACTGGGTTTCGCTTTCCCACTTTTTGCCAAAACATAAAAAAGTGCAAAAAATTGGCTCCTGAAAAAAAAAAAAGTTGGCCCTAGTATTTATGTAAAATTTTTAAACTTAGGTATTTTACACCCTTCACTGATTTGCGTTGATGAGGGGACTGATGTGAATGTACACTATATAGGCAGCACTAAAGGGCACTGATAGGCTGCGTAAATTGGCACTATACAAGTAATTGAAATAAATGAATGAAAAAAATTCCTTGGGCACTGATAGACAGCAAATTAGGGGTCTACGGATAGCGGCACTGATAGGCGGCACTGATAGGTGACAATGATGGGTACTGATAGACGGCACTGACTGGACATGGCACTTCTGGGCACTGACTGGCGGCACTGACTGGCACAACCCCTGGGCACTGACTGGTGGCACTGACTGGCAGCACTGCTGGGCTGCACTGGTGGGTGGCACTGGTGGGCAGCACTGGTGGGTGGGCACAGGTGGGTGGCACTGGTGGGCACAGGTGGGTGGTGCACTGCTGGGCACATGTAGGTGGCACTGCTGGGCACAGGTAGGTGGCACTGCAGAGTGGTACAGGTGGGTGCACTGCTGGGCACAGGTGGGGGCACTGCTGGGCACAGGTGGGGGCACTGCTGGGCACAGGTGGGGGCACTGCTGGGAACGGGGTGGGCGGGGCTGGTGGGCGCAACTTGCGGGTGTCACTGCTGGGCACCGATCATCAGGGCACTGATCATCAGTGCCCTGATGATCGGTGCCGATCCCCGCTCTGACAACTGCCGGTTCTCGGCACAGCTGTGTCCGTAGGACACAGCGATCACGGAGATCGCCGGTGCGCGCCCCCTGGGGCGCGCAGGAGAGCGCGTTCTGGGAGGACGTCATATGACGTCCACTCAGAAACTGGCCGGCCGCGGTGAAGCCGTCATTCGGCTATGCGCGGTCGGCAAGAGGTTAAAAACATCACTGAGCTGGGAGCATCTACAAACAGGCTGGAGAGATCAGCTCGTTATGAGTTCATCAATATGAGCTAGCCTAGGGTGTCTTAATGGTACAAGGTGGGAACCATATATTTTGGAAAGAAGATCATGACAGAGCAGCACAGTGGCTAAATGGTTAGCACTTCTGCCTGGCAGTATTAGGGTCATTGGTTCGAATCCCAGCCACGGCACCTCCTGCTTGGAGTTTGCATGTTCTCCCTGTGCCTGCATGGGTTTCCTCCGGGTACTCCGGTTTCCTCCCACACTCCAAAGACATGCTGGTAGGTGAATTGGCTCCTGTCTAAATTGGCCCTAGTATATGTATGTATGAATGTGAGTTAGGGACCTTAGATTGTACACCCTTTGAGGGTTAGGGACTGATGTGAATGTACAATATATATGTAAAGCGCTGCGTAAATTGACGGCACTATACAAGTAATTGAAATAAATAAATGAATGAAAAATTCCTTGGGCTGCCTAAATTACACGTAAAAATGCAAGTACTGCTCATCCTCCTCCCACCACCACCCCTCTACCAAGCGGGTACCTATTTGCGACAGGTATCTGCTCCCACAATTCCCACCTAGGAGTGAATTATGACAGCTTGCTCCCTCAACTCTTGCAACATTCCTGTGACACGTCACATGTCCCAAGAGGCTGCAGGACCAGTCCCACCACGTTACAGTGCCTCGTGCAGAGCCGACCGTGAGACTTTAGAAAGTCACAGCTGGCATCCATATCCAAGATGGTGGCACCAGAGTCAAGGCCTGGCAAAGAATCGGCTCCGAGGAAGATAGCTCTGGACTCCACAGCCAGGTAAGTGTCTAGACGGAAACCAATGCTAAAACCAGGCAGCTTATTTCACATTATTGACTACACAGATGTTAAACATTATAATTGCCAAAACTGAGATACCTACAGTAAGTAACCAAAAGTGGCTTCTAAGTATATTACCTTCTCTCTGCCCGTTCTTTCTTCTTCAGGACCACGTCTAAATTCTGTAATTGCTCATCCAGTTTTTCACACAGCAATTTCTGTTCATAAAAAAAAAGAGACTAGATTAGCACAATCTAGATACTATGTAGATACAAGAGATCTGTGTATATTGGGTGCAAGAGTTCTGTCATTCTCCGCAGGGCAGTCGCTAGAGAGCACCATGTGATGTCACTGCATTGTATTACTGCATGATATGCCTTTAGTAGGGCACCTGTGGATGCCCAATGACCAAATAGGAAGTGAAAGACCCCATACCCATCCTGTGGTCATTGGGCATCCACAGGTGCCCTACTAAAGGCATATCTTGCAGTAATACAATGCAGTGACATCACGTGGTGCTCTCTAGCACCACGTGATGTCACTGCATTGTATTACTGCAAGATATGCCTTTAGTAGGGCACCTGTGGATGTCCAATGACCAAATAGGAGGTGAAAGACCCCATACCTATCCTGTGCCATTGCTCTGTCCAGTCCCATTAGAACAAGAGAGGAAATGCCACATATTACCCACATTGCATGAAAAAACTGAAAAGCTAGCAAAGAGCATCTCCCTTAGCATGGCTAAGTAGAACTAGGCCCTTTATGCTGTTGCTGTCACCGGCCAGACTAAATTCCTCATATAGTACAAAATTTACTTTATGCTTCGGAAACAGGAGGTATATAAAATCATGGAAGCGGAGCGCTCGATTCACCTGGTTAGAGGTCAAAGGGAGAAATTTAAAGATATCTGGCAAGGGTGGATGTACTACTCCTCTGAGATACCGGTTGCATGAGTCCTTCTGGGTAGATTGGCCTTTTAGTAATCCCCGACCATGTCGCTTTGTACACCTGTGTAATATGTGTTATTGCTTATGTTATACTACCCCTACAGAATTGGTTTACTGGATGTTTTGTGTGGTTTCTTTTTTTTTGTTCCTTTTCTTTTCTTCTTGTTCGGAATATTGTCATTCCAATTATGTTCGATTTTGGTCAAGGTGTCAGTTTGCCTATGTTGTTATACATTTTATTACGGTTTTCTTGACCGATTAACATATATCTGCTGACATTATTGTCTACTTTGTAATCAATCTTTCTTAACATTTTCTAGTAATACAAAGAAAAAAATAAAAAATTTTCTTTATGCTGCTTTGAAAACTAGCAGGTTAGGTGTCTGGCCTGCGGTGGAACAATTGGAAGGAGACTAAAGAACTTGAGTTAATATGAGACAAGGCAAAAACTTTCAAAGCCCAAAAGAAGCTTAGCAAAGTTAAAGTGGAGTTCCACTCGAACTATCAAAAAATAAAAGTCAGCAGCTACAAAAACTGTATCTGCTGACTTTTAAAAAACAGCCACTTACCTGTCCCTCGGTCCTGTAGTGTGTCCCCTGCAGCCCGTTTCACCGGCCGTCCTGGATTCCAGGAGGCCGGCATCTTCAGTGTGGGCACCCGGCTGTGACAGCTTGCTGCTTCACAGCCGGGTACCCACTGCGCATGCGCGAGTAGCGCTGCGCTTCGTGAATGGTCCTGTAGTCGTCTGGGACCTGTCACATGTCCCAAAAGACTACAGGGAGGGAGGGAGGGAGGACACCTTCCATTTCTGATCCCCCAGGTGATCGGACCGGAAGTGGGAGCGGGTACCCGAATTTGACAGGTACCTGCTTCCCAAAAGGTGCAAATCCTTAATGGGGAGCAGTCCTTTGAAAGCAGAACTTCCCCTTTTGGGTGGAGCTCCGCTTTAAAGCTGTTAAACCATCCTTGGCCTCAAAAACCACTACACTTATGTTCACTAACACGGGCGAAGTAAAGGTTAGCTTTAAAGTGGTTCTTCCTATATAACCTATGAACAAAGCCTATACCTCTATAGTGTGTACGTGTTTCAATCCAGAGAACTAAGTGTCAGTTCCGTCTGATACGTGGGTCCTCTGTTATCAGCATGAATCACTTATGACAAGTTCTCCTGACACCAAGAGA